CTATGGGGACGTAATATTTTAAATTTGTTACTTTGGCGGTGAGACCTTTCATTTGACCCAAACATGGTCGATCAACTCGATTAACAATACAGACGGTTCCATTGTCAGATAATAAGAAAGATCGGAAGCACTCTCTGGAAACCTTAAAAACTAGTTTTTCATCCGAAAGTTTATTAAAATATGAATCAGGTATATGAAAAAGAAGTTCATTTGATGCAGAATTCTTTTTCTCTACCAGAATCTATGAGAATGTCTTTGATTTTCAAGTTTTTTTCAATCAATAAATGGCAAAATACCGCCAAGATCAAGTCTTATTATGTCTGACAATCGTTTTTGAGTCTTATGAAGTTATAATTAATATAGGCGTACCAGCTTGATTTTTTTTACACAAAATGTAACGAAAGAAAAGTTAGCAGCGGATTCGAGATTTCCTTGCTGATATTCGCTCCTACACTTGGGTTAAGTTTCTGGTCACTTGGAGTAGATACAGAATTTGATTCTGGGTGCGGGTGTGAGTGTTGAAGAAGCGAAAACCAACCCACGCCCATCCTCGATTCAAGATCTGTTGCAAGATAGAATATACTGGAAATATTGACACTCAATATCTTATCTATTCTATAGTGTTTCTTATACATTAATATTTTCTCACCCTCTGTCATAACGACTACCAAATAAACCAATACTTTAAAAAAATCTAAAAGAATAGTAGTATGTCAAAACCGAACAGCAAAATATCATGGTTTATGACTGGGATCGTGCCGTTGTTCTTCACATCACTTTTGAAGATAATTGTAGATGTGCAAAGTTTGTTTAGCACCTGTCACTTCTAGTACTTTGCTAGTTGTTTCAAAATCATAAAACAATCTGCAGAGGATTGATCTTTGGTTCGACTCATGAAACAGAGTGCTAATAAATGTCAAGTCCTTATCCAATGTATGTAACTGTCATGAATCGAAAATTGTCAAAATTACTCAGTTTAATACAATTTTGTTTTCAAAATACCTTACCCGTTTTAAAGTCATTATGTAATCTTACGCAACAAAAGACAATACTGAAGGCTAGTAACATATCTCAAAACAGCCTATCACTATACTCAAGTGTTCTGCATCGAGACAACTATCTTACAATCGCGAAATGTTCGAAAGATGAAGACTTGCCAAAAGTGAAGCTTCGTTTTCCGCATCCAACGAACCATTCAGACCAGTTTCATTAATAAAAACAAAACAACTGATCTTCAATGTAGTTCTAGAAGAGGGAAAGGCTATCGATTATTCTTATGACAACCATGTCTTTGTGTGTTTCATTTTATAATCATGCATTGGATAGGTCGTACATCAGCTTTCATGTCAAACTTCTTCAATTGTTGACAGAGTTTTATGTACGTAAGATAACCTAATCAAAATTGCAAACTCGTAAACGCTCTTAAACTATGATAAGCGGTAATAAATGGAGAACATGTGCATGGACTCCATTTTCAACTATTGTTTATGGATTTGGTCGTCATCAACGTGAGGGAGAAGTGCATTAGATCCCTTAGTGGCTCAATATGATATGTAAACATGTCTGGAAATTCAGTCTATCAGGTAGAAAAATTTTGAAGAATCTTGATCACTATTTATAATTTTATTCGCGAGCACTGTTGTTATTTTTTTTTATGATTCTATCCTTGTTTCTCATTTGTAACTTTTTTACTGCTCCTTTCTCCGTTCTGTTTTGAAATTTATAAGTGAGTAACATCACATAAAGGAATAAAACTAAAAAAAAAAATGTTAGTTGTAAAATACTCAACAGCTTTCATTCAACAATTCATACACAATACACTCGATCATTGACTCAACGAAAACCATCATCAAACGTCAAAGACTGAATCAGAATGTAAGTGAGCTGCCATCATTGATGCATTTTTCTTGACTGTATAAGAAAAGGTAGTTAATGTTCGCATTTTCAGAAAGGAAAGAATATCAATGACTCAATTCCTCAATGGAAGCGATAGAAAATTAGATAAAAAAATGCAATTTTTGTTTTTCTATTGCACATGATTATATTTGTTAGAATGTAGGGCTAATCAGAAGCAACATCAATAGAAATCAGAATCAAGCGTAAAACAAAGATTCTTAAATTGAACATAAATTGATGTATTCAGTGAAATAGACGTCTTTTCGAAAAAAAACATTTTTCCGTTTCCTTAAAACATGAAAAAAATAAGAAAAAGTCTGTATTTAATGAGGATTAGTTTTATATGCAAAACTGTTGCATGAAAGAGGAAAAACTTCTGTTCGCATTGAACTTTTGCAAAATAAAAAAGATCTAATTAGTTTTCATCATAGATAGGTACACTTGCGTGTCTTCTTGCTGAATATCTATTTTAACTTACAATATAGTTTAATCTTATGAGTGCGAGCGTGATATTTTATTTTATGTATAACATTTTTTAAGATTTAAATAGTTGTGCATTACTACCAAGCGGTAAAGAGAGCAGAATCTTGAAATCTTGAAGTTCAGAATTTTCCGACCGTCTTAGAATTTCTTCGGATTCCACAAAATTCCTTGAGCTTCCGAAAATTTTCCTAAAATTTCTTAGGATGTTCTGATTCCCGTGAATTCCAGGATTCCACCATTTACTCCTTGATTAATACTGAATTCTTCGGAGAGTCTAAGTTTTTTTTAAAAATCATCTTGAGTAGAATATGTGAGAATGTACGTTCAAACATTTAGATGGTTCTGTTCAATTATACGTGTTCTCTCTTATCTGATTTAAATTGATATGATAAGTAGTCGGAGTCTGACTCAGATTTTATCGCTATCAATCATTATACTCAATCCTTAGAGAAAGAACAGAAAGTGAAGGCTACTGTAGCTAGATAGAAAATTTTCAGAAGGTAAAACCTCATGTCTGTATAAAAAAGGAATGATTATGACAATACTCGAAACTCTCAATATTCGACAAAAAAAATCATCATAATATTCTTATTATATTTTACAATAGTACCATCATAATTTCGAAAAACTCAAACATTCTAATTTTTAAATCGATCCACTGTTTGCTATCAAAAATTCTCACTTATGGAATTTCTCATTATGACAAAGTACTAAAATGCGTGATGCAGATAACTGTAAAGCGTATGTTTTAAAAGCTCACATTGGAGTACAACATCAAGTCTCTTGGGGCAGTTTTAATCAATGTGAGATCTATCAGATATCGTTATAATTAGTATATCACAAAAATGTCTATAGTTCGAAAATGTTTGAACGATGTATGAAGGTATATATGTATTCTCTGCACCCATCCTACCTCACACTCGCCCTCTAGAGTCACATCTGCAGCATAGTTTTTATCCACAGAAAGTTGAGTAGTGTCAAATTCGAAGCTTGAATTCAATTGAACTACTACTTTTCAAGTTTCAAGTTTCGATTTTCAATGTTTTCATCAACTCACATCAAGGCAGATGCGATGTGTGTCCTTTGGATTGAATTCAACTTTCAAGTTTTACATGTATGAAAGCAATACAAGAAGGCAAATAAGAAAAAGCAGACAGGAGAAAAACGAAAACAGAATGAGCTAAATAACATTCTTTCTTAAAAGCAACAGCGAAAAGAAAGCAACATTTTTTTTCTGATAATTAAAATGCGCCTTTTCTTTTCTTTCCATCATATCAAGTGTCAGTATGTGGACAGAACAAATGAATGTGAACGAAAATGCTACATCATTGCCGATTTTTACCAAAGCCGAACTAAGCATGAATAAACGTTTCAAATTAATTTCATGGAACATCGATGGACTCGATCGACTCCAACATACACTTGAAGAAAGAACTCATGGTGTTATTGCTGTCATACAACGGTAATAGAATACATTCACAATTCAAAAAGAATACTAAAACATATTCATTTTCTTTCTATGTAACATTGAATTCATAAAAGAGACTGAAACCGAATTGAGTCGAATTGAATAGAGATGCCTTTATTCGTTTTTTTTGTTATATCTGAATCAAAAATGCATAGCAAATAATAACAAAAAGAAAGGAAATGAATTACACATACACAAAAGAAAATACCAGTTTAGAAGTTTAAACAAGTGTGTTTAATAATTGTAGACAGAAGTATTGGTTGTAAATGTGTATCCAAATGACGCAAACATATATAATAGTTAAAATATTGTTTGATAGGCTTAGAACTTTTTTGATCAATATTTATTTACAACTTCATAACAATCTTTTGTTATGATAAGTTTTGTAGAAAAAAAAAGATAACCGATTTGAAACACCATCAAGATTCTTGAGTAATTTCTACCGATTATTTTTCTTGCATCTGTTTAACCTATTTCTTTCAAATAAAATTTTTCTTGAGATAGGCTTTTATCCCTTTAGTAAAAAGTTTTTGGCTAATATTCGTTTTCATCAGTTGTCGCTTGTTCAATGTTCAAAGACGCACTCCATTCATAAAATTTCCGATCTTTCAACCATCAATTATTATTCTTGTTCTCGCATTCATTAATATCGAACTTTCTATTGTATTTTTTCTTTAAAAAAAAACAAAGTAATGTTTCAATATGTATGAACAGATCAAATATACAAAAATGAAACTAGAAGCAGAAAAGAGAAAAATAAATAACTTCCTCAGAAAAAAAATCAGAACATATGTAGTAGGTAATTTGTGTAAAAACAGTAACATCTTTTCTGTGAATGCAAGTCGAATCACATCTTAAGGAAGATTTTCTTATTCGTTTCGGTGTTTGATTCATAGTGGAAATGAATGCATCTTTTATTTTCTAGAGAAAAGCCAGATGCTGTCTTTCTTCAAGAAGTTATTCCACAATCTCTTGTGTTATTGAATAATTCTCTACCGGAATACGATTTCTATACTGGTGAGTGAATTTATTTGAAGATTGAGTGAAGTGTTGTCTTTCAGGCAATGATGAAGGCTACTTCGTGGCTATATTAACACAACGTAACACCCTCAAAGTACAAAGTCACGAAGTGATTCCGTATCCTGGTACACAAATGGATCGAAATTTACTGATTGTTCATGTAAGTTATTTGAAAATTACTTTGAAATATCAAGTAATAATATTCGATATATTTCAGGCTATCTATGAAGGCTCCATTGAGATCGATTTGATGACAAGTCATCATGAGAGCTGCAAACCAGGAGCCAATGAGCGTGTCCGACAATTAAAGTTATGCTTCGAAAAAATGATTGAAGCTCCAGCAAATCGAATTGTTCTCTTCGGTGGTGATTTGAATATGCGTGACAATGAGGTGAGATTTTTCACAAGCACAATACTCCTTTTTTTCACAAGAACCAAAATAAATGGGACTACATCTCATCTCTATAGACAAGTTTTTTTAATTCGAAGACTTTCAAAGATAATGAGCTGATCAAAGTCCGAAACAAATCAATTTTCATAGTTCGACCTTACTTATCATCGCGAATGTCCTGATTCTATTCGACTCGATACAAAATGAAATTAGGTTTTTTATTAAGCAACTCGATGTATCACTTTTGAATTCTGAATACTCTCTCAGAGGTTTAGAAATCAAATGGTTTTCGACAAATCATCTGATGTTTTATTAATTTCGAAAGGTTGTCTTTTCAAGATTTTATCTACGACAAAGAGGAACGACGTTGTCTCTGAATTTATGCTTAAAGCGTCATCATTAGTGAAAGATCGATTAGAGTTATAAACCGTTCATCTAAAAGAGAAAAGCTAAACAAAACACTCTATATTTTTTTCTATTTCGAAGACATGACTCAAATTGAACCGAGATATTTCTAAAACCTAGAAATAAAAGTATGATATTTCGAATAGTTTTGTGAATATAAGTGAATCTACGTGTAATGGAGACTTTACTAGGAGTAATCAATGATCGTAACTTCCAAGTTGATCAACAAGCAGTCATGAGTAAGAAATTTGAACTCGAAGTTTTTCCCTCAAAATTGTTATCATGCATTGTCATTAAATATCTTCAATCGCTATATTTTGTTAGAGAATGTAAAACTTATCTAGATATTCTCTCTTCGAATAGAAAAAGACCAACAGACCTAGGTCGACAACTGAGAGTGAGTGCGTAATGAAATGATTCTACATTTGCTCATCATTTCTTCCACCACTTGTGAAATAATATCGGTACGATTTCTTCCATTTAGTTTTGTTCTCTCAATATGAAACATCGTAACGCATTGACACACCAATCAATTGTGTTTGATCTTTAAGATTTGCCTTATTCAAATTTGTTTGTTTCAGCAAGATAGTCAGATTCCGGATAACACCATCAATAATTTTCTGGTTAAACTTTATTGAGACTGAAGTATTCATGTGATACGTACGTCTTATATTACTTGTTTGCCTAGCAGTATTATCAGTCTATTGAGCTAGTATCACTGATCTAATAGACCAGTTGAATAATACTACTAATGTATTCCGAATAAAATTATATATTCTTGAACAGTAAGAATACAACCTTGCGTCAGATAAATAAACTACGAGTGGGTCATATTAAGTCAAATTTTTTCGTTGGTGCTTTGGAAGAGTGAAGTGAAAAATATTCTTAAAATTTGCCATTAAATTTATTCTTTGCAGAATTGACTATGTTACGAAACTTTGTAGTTAGTCGAAATTCTTTGGTTTGTATGTTAGGTTTCATCTCCTATGATCAAGAAAAAATTATAAGACAATAGAGAATTGATAGATCTAATCGTTTTCTTTCGATTCATGATGCTTTTTAATCAGTCTTGTTTGGATTTTCTCAATCACTTGTATCTCTGTTAGAGTAGAATATAAGACTTTTCATAAGCTCCCTAAATATATGTTCTTTCATCGAAATCAACTTACAGTCATATTTCTATTTTAGCTGATAAGAGCGGGTAATATCCCGGCTGGTATTTGTGATTTATGGATTGAAATGGGCAAACGTGAAGAATATGCCTATACATGGGACATGCAACTGAATACAAATCTTGACTTTTCAGCTAATAACTTTCGACCTCGTTGTCGTTTCGATCGAATGTATTTTCGAGGAGCAACGTCGCCTACAGTCAAATTTAAACCAATATCTTTCAAACTTCAAGGTCTGGAAATCATTCAATCAATTCAACGTTTCTGCTCGGATCATTGGGCAATTCAAGCTGAATTCGAAGTCTAACTATCAATCAGGATTAAAAATGAACGATGTGAATGTGAAAAGAGCAGAGAAAAGTGAACATAAAAATTCAACTCGTTTTCTGTTATGTTCTTATAAAGAATTCATACTTCTTCTAATCATCATTTCTTCGTTCTTTTTCTCTTGAACAACTTTTATGAAATTAATAAATAGAAATTCATGCTTTTCTGGAATACTAATCAAAAGATTGTACTAGAAGACGTTTCAATTCAGTACCGATGAATTTTTTTCCATATGGGTTAATGAATAACCAATATCATGCAATATGAAACAATCGCCAGGTAGCCAGTTGATTGAGAGACCAGATGACTGAATACTGCTTGGGAATAGTTACTTATGTCATAATGTTGGTTGTGGATAAGAAACACGTAATATCTGTCAGTGTAAGCACTAACAATGAGTCTATATAATTTCATCACTATTGTATTCCAGCCATAATTAGCCTTAATGGTACGCATATTTTGTGATCTTTTGGATTGTTGTAGAGATGTGGGAGTTTCGAATCGGTCTGTGACGGTTTCAGTTTTTCTAGATATTTAGATGATAATAAACTTTTGTTGCACTAGGTCAACTAAAAGTCAAGAGGAAATCGATCGATCTCCTCTTAGGCATTCATTTTTTATATGTATTGTTCTGATCTATCTATATATGTTACAGATTTACCTAAATGAAAGACTTTAGATTTATTTGTATCCCGAAAGATGAATTTTTGTCTTTTTTGAAGTTTTTTTCCAACTTTCTAAGATATTCAACATGTTCAGGTCTGATATTCTGAGAGTAGGTCTTCTCTTAATTCACCCACACTCACATCCCACTTTTGTTTGTTCCATATGTTTATGTTGTGTCCATCACCGAATCAATAAGAGCTGCACGAATAATATGAATGAGTATGAGATTTCAGAAAAAATGATGTAGCATCCTCAAAACTTATCATAAAATAAATAAGCTATATTGCGTTCGATAGTAGACACGTTGTTTTACCTAACACACTATAAAATCACAAAATCGGAAGATTTGGCAAAAAAATGACTTTTTAGGGTGGGGAGGGAGCTTAACTAACTGATCTATCCATTCACGTATTGTTTTAGTTCATCTCGAACAACTCACAATGAACTCATCGATGACTTGCGTTGCCATATTGGTACTCGTGGCATTGTTGTCATTTAGTGAAGAAAATGTTATCTTCAAGACGAAAGACAATGACGTGAATACGCTCGATGCAAGAGTGACTAGCAGATTGCCGAATGTGAAAACCGAAGAGAAAATGCATTCAAAATTCATTCGTGAATGTCAAAATGGTTCACGAGAACCATGCGCGATGGAATTGTTTTATAACAAGTGTAAAATGACACAATATGGGGAAAAAAGTCGAAAATATGAATTGACACTAATCGACACTATATTATAAACTTTTCTTGTAAATAAAAGATTGATCGTAGAATTATGTATTACAAGAAATGAAACCTATTAAAGCCGTGAACAGATGAAATTTGATCTTTTTTCAATGTTTTCGGCTAGCGATCGAAAGAGTAAATAGAAAAGAAGATAAAGTTAGAAGTAGTTTGCATCTTGAATCTTATTTAATAGATATCCATCGAATAAATGCCATGATCGGCCAGTTCCATGATCGATATAATAACTTGCTTCGTTAAAAGATAATATCCATAATTTATTCGGTTGATATAATGAAATTTTGAACCATTCTCGAATATGTCGAGTTAACAGTACATCTCTCGTTGAGAATACATCTAAATATGGAATAAACATTCGTCGATAGAATGATGCTGGAGGAATTCGATAAAGAATAAAATCAAGAATAAGATGTCTCAACTGGATACGTAGATAAATTGGATGCCTTCCACAATTGATGAATGATTTTTAGAATTAATGAATTAGATTCATTTAGTAGTTGAAACAATAATGAAGAAGGAAGACCAATATAAAACTGAAAAAGTGTCCAACTTATTAAAGATAATTGTCATAGAAGAAACACAATTTTAATAACAATTATCAACCGAAAAATAGATCTTCGTCGACTAATCAACATAGACCTACAAAATAGGTTAAGATGAATATTTCATGAAATGAGACTAGGTCATTCAATAATGAAAAACTCATCATTAATATGATGTTGTTGACAGAAAGGTTAAAACACCTTACATAGACAGATCTTGATCCTTTTATCCTTTTAAATATGCACAAATATCGAAGAAAGACATGATGAGACAATGTTAAAGGGACTACATTATTTCCGTTAACCACTTCGGTTCTTGCTTCATGCCCGTGGTTATGTAAGATATACAAGAAAGTATATGATATCGTGCACATATATAATATAACGAATACAGAATAGATAAGATAAACTAAGTAATGAAGTTGCTATGAAATGCACATTGAAAAAACTCTCAGTTAAATCATCACTGACCAGATTTCAGGAGAAAGCGCTTGCTAAAATATAAATTCAAGAAACATCCAGATTATTAAAAAAAATTATAACTGAGGGTGTGAGTGTAGGTGTAGATGTGCGTGAATAGAATTGTAATCCACACCCACCACATTACCACACTCATACCCACACCCACCACATTAC